ATTGGGTATTATGATGAATGAATTCTGATTATTTTGTGCTGTGGCTATGCTTTGATTTGTTTGTGTGGAATTGGGGATGAATGTGGTCACCATGGGTTTGTCGAGATAGGTATATGTGATATGGATCCTGAATATGATATGAAATTGGCCGGGTAAATGCGGAGATCCGGCGCCCCCGTGTGCACCTATCTGCTATGATCTGTGTGATATGGAAACCACAGGTTGGTTTCGTTTATTTGGCGCACCTGATAATCTAGATTTGATCGCAGGCCCGCAGGGGTGGCCTCCTGGTTGTGAGCGCCTGGATTGATCTAATGATGGAGACGTACGGGGTACCTCCTGTTGGTATGAAAAGAAAAGAGACGAATGGAAAAACAATGAGAGGGCTGGTCAAGGAGGATTAGACGGTCGGCCAGTATGGGGGATCGCTCCCTGCGTAGCACACGTGAGAGGCACTGAGCCACTGTGGAGATTGACCGGCTCATCGGGGTTCGGTGACTCCACTGACTAGATTTCCACGTGATGTGATATCTTGAAGGTGATGTGATATTGTTTGTGGGTGCTGATATGATGCCATATGATTGACTGTTGTGTGTACATTCAGTATTCTAGGGTGCATTTGTGTGACTGTTTGTGATGTATATTATTTATTATTATTCGCTGAATTGCAAAACTCACCCCCCGCCCAAAAAACCTCCCAGGTACTAGGAAGCAGCTGATTCAACTGAAGCTCTGCAAATCTTCTCCGCAGAGTTACAAATGTAAACTTTATATTGTTGATATTTAATTTTGAATGTATAAATTATTCTGTTATCAGATTTTTTTTGGACTCCGCAGTTATAGGGTTGTGTATTTAAATTGGGCCTTATTGTTTGGGCCTTATTGTTAGCACTACGCTATAAATTAAATATTGTGTAATTAACTGCATGTGAACCAGTAAGCCCATAGTGTGAATATGATTTATTGTGAATAGGTCCTCGTTAAATTTTATGTAGTATTTGAGATTGGGCCAGATGTTTGAATATTTCTATAAACTTATATTTTATAAGCTTACTGTTCTGATGAAATTGGGAGAGATAAGAAGATAGATTGAATAATTTAGGCTTACTACGGGCCTCGGAGGCCTTAAGCTTACCTGGGTCCTAGTGCTAGTCCGGCCCATGGAAACGGGTCGTGACAAAGGTGGTTTCAGAACAAAAGTTCATAAGTCTAGATGTAACTGCGGAGTAATTCCTGTCATGTCTTGACACGGGTATATATATGACAGTTTAATGCTGCTCTACTTTAGTTAAGTTTAAAAAAAATTAAAGTAGCATACCTTAATCATAATATAAAATAATAAAATTGATAAAAACCAAAAATTGGAAAAAAATAACTTAACTTTTGACATAGTAAATTCCTTGAACCACAATTCTATTTAAAATAGTCTATTTTAATTTGAACAAAAATTTAGATTATTTAATTAAATAAATATTAAAAATAAATTAAATTAGATTCTTATATTCTTATAATATTTAATATATAATATAATTTTCTATGTTATTTTTTAGGCAATAAAATAGATGAAATTATTTATCAAAGAATATATTATAAAATTTATTGTTTCATATCAAAAAGAAAATAAAATTTATTAGAAATATATATAAAATATAAAATATAAAATTATGATATAAAATATTATATTAGCAAACTATATAGTACATTAAAAGACATTTTCTAAAAAACATAATCATACAGTTAATTATATGGTCATAGAGTTTAGCAAAAAATAAAAAGAAAAAATCAAAATTACAAACGATAATCATTATCTATCTATAATATATATTATTTGATAATAAAATTTCAAAATGTAATAAGCCAAGTCAAATCTAATTCTCATTTTGAAAAAATTTTCTCACCTGTTATTTTATTTTCATTTTATATTTATTTAATGTCTATTTATTTTCAATGTTTATTTATTTATTTTTTGCTTTATAATTTTAAATAAATTAATAAAATATATCCTCCAAACACCCTTAATATTATATAACACTTCTATTGGTAACCTTAAAATATCAAAAAAATTGAATATAAAAAATGAAATTATATTAATTAATATATATAATACACACACAGGACGTACACTTAAATATTACCATATGGCCTTGGTGTGCATATAGTATATATATATATATATTATATAAAAATTGTAATCACAAATTTATATAAAATTGTAATCACAATTCAGTATTAACAATTATAAATAATATATCTCTCTTTCTCAAACTTTAGAAGCTCTTTTTCTTTTTTCACGGGTAGCCACTGGTGAGCGCTTATCGGTAGTCACTCTTTTTTCCTCTTCAGATTTGAGTTATCATTGTCCAAATATTAAAATTTATTATTGTCCATATTTTGGGATTTAGTTCTGAGTTATTATTGTCACAATTATAGTGATTTTGTTTATGGTATGTTGTTATTTGGACAGTTATGCAGAAAAAAGTGCAAATCTATTTTCTAGTAGAAGGAAGAAAATTTAAAGATAATCAGTTTGGGCTTGTAGAAAGACTATAAAGTCGAACAATGACTATAAATAGCCACCTAAGGCAAGCGATCGCCTATAGCATAAGTATTAAGTTCTGTCAACTAAATCAGATACTTCAAATCAAACTTGTGTTTTTTTATTTTTTATGTAGGTGGTTTATTATTATACTTTCTATACAAAAATATAAAAATATATTGATTTGTATCATATATCTGTATATGGATTCCACTTAATGAAATTTCTAATTTGATTTCTTATAAATAATATATAACATTCATGCACAATAACTTAATTAAAACAATTAAAAGATCAACTATTAAATTAACTAAACATAGAAAAAGAAAAAGGAGATTTAGATTTTAGATTTTGTACCATAAAAGAAAGAATGGATATGAATCCTTTAATAAGATGTGCTAATAAAAAAAAACATATATATAAAAAAAAAACATATTATATATATATATATATACTATATATATATATATATATATATATATATATATATACAATATATATATTCTATTTAAATCTAAATTCTAATGATTCTATTTAAATCTAAATTCTAATGAAAATTTAAGAAACTATATTATATAGTAAATAAGAAATCTATTAAACATGGTATGAATATAATATCTCTAATAATTTTAATTTTATTGGTTGAGAGAATAAAAGTAGTTTGATTTTGATTGATTATATTATATTATATAGAGTATATTAAATATGGTAAGAATATAAAATATTTTATTATTACCTTTGTTGAATCTTTAATTTGATTGGTTATGGTTATTACAAAGAATAAATATAATTTATTATATTTATATTATAAAATTTGTTGTTTGATACAAAATAAAAATAAAATAAAACTCACTAAAATATATATATAAAAATAAATTATAATATAACATGTTATATTAGCAAATCATATACCATATTGAAAGAATAATTTTTTTCTAAAAAAAAATAACCATAAAATTGATTATACGTTTACAAACTTTAGCAAAAAATAAAAAAAATATCAAAATTATAAACTATGCTAAAAATAATGACTAATATATTAATTATTAAAATAACTATCTATCTATTATATAATATCGTTAATATAAATTTAAAATGTAACAAATTAAGTTCAAATAATCTTCACTTTAAGAATTTTTTTTTTTATTTTATAGAATATTGTTTTCTATTTTATTAATACTTTTGGATTTTTAGTAATATAAATTCTTCATAACATTTTAATTTATTAGAAAAATTAATAAAAAATTATATATAATTTAAGTTAATATAAATTCTTCATAACATTTTAATTTTTAATTTTTAGAAAATTAATAAAAAATCATTTATTAATATTAGTTACTATTTACTTGCATTAGAAAAATTAATAAAAAATTATATATAATTTAAGTTAATATAAATTCTTCATAACATTTTAATTTTTAGAAAAATTAATAAAAAATCATTTATAATATAAGTTATATTTACTTGCAACGAGCAATCGTTAACATGCAATGCAGGTTGGAAAAAAACTAATATATATAAATCAATAAAAATTTGTACAAAAATTAAATAATTAGTACCAACTAGGCATAGTTACCGGTTCATTTTGAATTAAAACCGAACCATACTGTAGATGAACCGGAATCAGAACGGAACGTTGGTTCAAAGTTTTGAACCAAAATCGATGGTTCAAGGGTCGGTTAAGGTTTATATGAATGTTAAAATCTGAACCTGAACTGGCAGTAAATCGATGGTTAACTTACGGTTTTGATCCAGTTTGAACCGAAAATTTTCTATTTTTATTTTCAAAATGATAATCACTTAGCCTATTTTATACACCTCTAAAAATCTCAATAATATTTCACTACATGATATATTTTATTTAAGATTTTTTTTTTAAAAATACACTTTACTTTAAAGTTAAAAATCTAAAAAGTAAAATGGTAAAAAAAAAGAGAAATATTTAATCTAAACTTATTGTTTTTAACTTTTTTTTTACCCTTTTAAATTGTTTACTAAGTTTAAAATTACATCCTTTTGAAGCACTTTTCAAAATTTTCTTGTAATTTATTTAATTAATAATATTTAAACAAAACAAAGTGATAATTAATTTAATTATTTTGTAAAATTAATTAATCTTATTCTTATATGACTATAAGCATTCTAAAATTTATTTAAAATAAACTTTACTAATATTTTTTAATCTCATATTAATATTTTCGAAGAAAGATATAACATTAAAACATATGTTTTTTCTAAAAAAAAACATGTCGCTAAACCGTAATCAAAACTGTAGATCTATCAAAACTATATTGAAACCGACCGAAGTAAAATCGAACCAGAATTGACAGTTAAAAAATCATTTTCAATTTAATATTTTCAAATTTTAAAAATTATAAACCTAAAGTTTCATGAACCAGAACCGGCGGTTCAATGAACCGCCATGCCTGGTACCAACAACGTTGAACTGAACATCATTTCTCAAGACCTTGTGTACTGCACGTGCTCAAGTGCTTTGACTGAGAAGGGTTTTACATTTTCACCTTCCCTGAAAAAACTCCCGCCGTCCTGCAGGCGGCAAGCACATGAGCTCGGTCCCGAAATGAGACAAAATCCACTTCCCAGTCTCCCTCAAACCCCAACTTTTCAAAACCATGAAACTAAAGCCGTTATGTTCGAAAACCCACCTCTTGCTCTCTTCATCTCCTCCATCTTCTACGTTTCCCTACTCAATCCTCGGCTCTTACTTCCACACGTATTCGCCGACTACTCCATACAGCTGCCACTCCCTCCGGCACGAATACGAAAAGGAGTCGAAAAATATCAGGGTTTCTGTCTGGTGGGATTTTGAGAACTGTAATTTACCTGTCAATGTTAATGCGTTTAAGGTGGGTCCTTCGATTGCGGCAGCCATCAGGGCAAGTGGGATTAAAGGCCCTATTCGGATCACAGCTTTTGGGGATGTGTCCCAGCTTTCAAGGGCTAAGCAGGAGGCCCTTTGTTCCACTGGGATCAATCTCGCTCATATTCCTCAAGGTTTGCTATCTTTTTTGTTTGTTTCAATTTTCTTTCTTTAATTAGTTATTTACTTGTAATTGAGGCGAAAGGAAACTAAAAATGGTTTTTCATCATTTGTTGGATTTTTAGTATGGTTAATTAAGTGCAAGGAAACACTTTTGTTGCTAATTGAGCAAATGCGATAGGTTTTTGGTGAAGATATTCTGAATGAAGTGGTTCAAATTGCTCAAATTGATGTAATTTGTAAAAATGGTTATATTATCTATGTAACTCCAAGTCAGGTATGAATGGCTAACTAGAATTCTTCCAACAACGTACTTTTTGGTATTGGATATTGGTTAGAATAACTGAAACCGATAAAAATTCATTGGGACTCAGATTACTTTTAATCCTTGGTTGTTTATTTTAATGTTTTATGGTGTAAATAAAATGTGTATTATTTGAGTTGTTTTTGTATACGAAAGTCTCCTTCAGTCTACATTCATTTCAGCTCTTGAACTTGCCGGATCGTGCAGTATCATCTGTGAACTGCATTATATTTTGTGCAAGCAACTCCTTGAGTTTTCTCCTTTGTCCATTTTTAATCCTCTGTTAACATCGTTAATAACTTCCCATTTGTTTTCATTTCTCCTTCCAAAAGTGGCACCACTTCTTTCCAATGTGCAAACTTGTTGCCATTAGGATGGGAACTCATCAGTCTATATCTTTTCATTTATTCTTGCGCAAGCAACCCAGTAAAATTTTAGTTTCTTGCAGGCACTTGGTTGCTGGCAACATGATGACTTCGCTACCTATAAATTTTCTATGTTCACTAACTTTGTTGAGCTTTTTACATATTCACATCTCTTAAGCCTTGTCTGTTTTGCAAGTGTGTTTGAAAAAAGAAAAAAGGGAAAAGAAATCCAAAGATTTGCAATCAAGATGAGAAAGAAAGATCATGTCATCCCTGCATATTCTATTTGGAAAAGCGTTTTGGCATTGAACTCATTTTAGTTTTAAAGAATATCCTTCCTTGTTTGGCATTGAAAAGTAGCTTTATTAGAATGCTATTAATCATTTTTGTTGGAAAAAGAAAGTGATCTCTCTGAAGTAATGTTTTACTGGGACATGAATTAGATGCTTTTGTGGATGCGAATCAAGATAATGACTTGTCTCTTTTTTTTTTTTTTTTTTTCAGATTTTAGTTTTCTTACATATTTGCTGCCTTTGAATATCTGCAAAATTATGATATGAAATATTAGTTCCATAAGAAAGAACATTATAAAGTATCTCAATATCTCTTAACTTTAATTGCATGCCCATTGTTATCTCATCATGCAAATATTCCACAATGCAGGAGGGAAGAACAGTGCTGATAGGTCTCTTCTTGTAGATCTAATGTGTTGGGTTTCTCAAAATCCACCACCTGCCCACCTTTTTTTAATTTCTAGTGATGGAGACTTTGCTAGTGTCTTGCACCGACTCAGGATGGAAAATTACAATATACTGCTTGCGAGCTCCACTGCTTCCAGGGTTCTTTGCAGTGCAGCGAGTATCATGTGGCGCTGGGACCCTTTGGTGAAAGGGGAAAACCTAACTGCCAATGTTTTTAACCAACCCCCTGATGGTCCTTATGGTTCTTGGTATGGACATTATAAGCTGCCTCTTAAAGACCCCTTCTCTTTTGGTGAGCGACCATGTTCACAGGGTGAGGAGTTGACTGAAGTTATTTCAGAGACCAAGACTCGGCTAATTCAGAAAGTAGTTGTGAAGCAGATCCGTGATATGCTGAGGTTGTACCCTAATGGAATCTCAATTCCTCAACTTTATTCTGAATTAAGAAAAGGTAAATTGGGTTTGGATAAAGAATTAAATGGATATAAGAAGCTCACCCACTTTATCTTGTCCTTGCCAAACATTTTGAAGATTCAGCACATTGCTGGTGGGAAATTTCTAATACGTGGCATTGCTGTAAAGCCTAAGCCACGCAATCAATGCTTGTCTATATTTCCTGTTACTAACAATGGGAACCAACAACCTAGTAGGCTGTTAAAGCCAAACAGTGTGGACATATCTATTTCTGGAGCTGAGGACAGGAAATCAATAATGCCTGCATCTTGTGAACTAGATACAGAAGGACCTAAAGGAGAAGTGCAACAATCCCATCCTCTTGTTGAGAAGTTCGAAGTGGATATTGAACAGCCTCCAAATGAAATTGAAGAACCTCCTTCGATTAGTAAAAAGGTTGTGGATGTGGCTGAGGCTGATGTTCGGGTAGCTAAAGATAATCTGCAGTCTTTGAAGGAACAAGATTCCATATCTGAAGTGGGTTTTCTTAAAAGAATCTGGAGAAAATTGTTGGGCGATAATGATGATAGTTCCAGGATAGAAATTCCAAAAGAATATCATAATACTGGGGTTAATAATGTGAAGAAAAGTGAGAATTCTCTCAAAAAATCTGGAACTCTGGGTGATAGCCTTGAAAAGAAAAGAGAAGAGAAAAAAATTCTGAAATCACGAGGTCAGGAAAATGGTCAAGTACCTTGCTCTTCATGTTCTTCATCCTATAGTGAATCAACTCTGGGAAAAGAAACTAGTTTGAGTTCTGCACCATATGGTGAAAAATCTGGGAAAGGTCTTGGTTTACTTGACCTGATTAAGACATGGTGTTTTGGGACGAATACTCCAGACTCTAATTCATCAATTGATCAACTTGGCGGAGAACTCAAGCACACAACCAGTTATCCTGCAAAGCTTCAAATTTTTTCTGAAGATTCTTTTGGGAAAGACTTGGAATCGTTTTTTAAATCTCAGAGGGGATCACTTCTTATATCACAATCAAAGACCAGGTTCCCAACTTTACTGCTTTTTGAAGTTTTTCTATATTTTTATTTTTTATTTTTTATTATTTTTGTTTACATCTGATGTCCAGCCTGTTTATTTCTTAAGTAAGGTTGCTATTTTTTCAACTTTTTCTCATCAACAAAGATCAAAATTAAAATCCAGCGAACATGATACAGTCCGTAGAATGAAAAGTACACGGAAAACTTTTTCTGCTTTTGGGAATTACAAGATTTTTGAGTTAACTTTTCTATTTCTCAAGTATCAAAATTTCCAAATTTTAAGGCTGAAAAACTGGCAGAAATTATCTTTATTTTCTCATTTTCTCTGAGTCCCAAAGGTCTAAGTTTATCCATTAAGCTTGCATCATTTTTAATATATAATGGCACAAAAAATTTTTGAAATTTTTTGTGCCAAAAGTTCATAAAGCATTACAACTTGCAAAAATTTGGTAATTATAATCCTTGTTATGTTATCCATCCAATTGTTCTGGTGTGTACAAAAGATAAATTCAAGGACTTACTTTAAAAATGAGGGGCATGTATTAGTTCTTCCACAGTATCTTCTATGTAGCACAAGTTGCTTCATTGCTAAGTAGAGGTAGGGTCTACCAGTCAAATTTAGTGTATTTTCTCCTAATGTCAAGAATGCTTGAACTTTATGTGCTTTTTGCGTTCTATAACAGATGATTGTTTCTGGGAATTTCAAAGAATCAACTTTTACCCTTTGCAACTCTATCATCAATCAAATCTCAAGTAAACATGACTTTGTTGATTTTATACGAAAAGCAACAGTCAATTTGGAAAACTCAAGCACTGAATTTTGAGCTCAACTGAACTTAAAAACACTAGTTGTTTGACCTAAAATTAAGCTCTCAAGTTCAGTATGAAGTGTTTTAGCTGAAGTTTTGATTTTGCAGAGATTAGATGGGTGATACGAAAATAGGATGACTCAGTGCACGAAGCATCCCACATTAGTGGCCTCTGTACAAAAATTAAAAAGTTGCTTCATGAAATTGCCAGAATTGCAAGTTCGTGATAGAAATGCAAAAAATGCTAAAGTTCCTTTTTTTTTTATATATTAAGCCCTTATCATATTTTGTTTGCCAAAATATTAACTCCATGTGCTGAAAAATATGGCTGATTTTTAGGATATAATTGTGTATACATGCAAGAGAAAATGCAAAGAGGTTAATGGAAGGGTATAGCAGAATGAAATTCACAAGTTGAAGGGATTGACAAGTGCAATCTTTAAGTTTGAAGATCGCATTGCAAATATGATGAAGTTAAAGGACCGATTTTTTCTGTTATTCTTAAACTGTTATATAGTTCTTTCTTTTTTCATGTTTTAGATTTTACTACTTGATAAAGATAATTTGATCTGAACTTCTTACGAAGTGAACGTTCTTATGCAGTAAGCATAGACCTTGCCTCACTGAACTTTGGTTCATGGGAGAATAATTGACCTCTATAGTGTCAGAAGTTAGGCAGGCGAAGAGAGTCTGTAGACAAGATGAATTGAAGCCTTTTAGAAAGTTTATCAGGGCTGTTAGAGAGGATTCATGACTTGGCACGTTAAGCAAACTTTCAAGTAAGCCAGATAGGAATATTTTCTAGTTGTCATTTTCATTTTCAGTCCAGTTATCCACAATTTCCATCTTCTATTATTTTGACTTTTCACTAATTTAGTAAGCTCCATCTTGATTTCAAATTTGAGATAATAACTTGAAGAATTCTGATATGAGGAAAAATGTTATCAGCTGTAGTCTATTCTATATGTTAATTTTTTCTATATCTGTGATTTTTCAGAAAACACATGGCAAGGAATCTGCTGAAGGATGGACCTATGGTTTGTAGATCAATTAGTGAAACCGATGCCCTTCGATTGGTTGATATCTTAATATCAGAGAAGAAGTGGGTGGAAGAATATCCCTCTGAGGCTTCTCCTTTTGAGCTCACTCTGTGTGTTGGAAAGAACACTTCCTCAAGTGATTCACATGCTTCAATTGGATTGAGATCTTTGAGCACTCCATTACAATCTAAACCAAAGAGGCAAGCAGAAGGAGATGGAGATGGAAGAACCATAAGAATTCAGAATATTTCTCATGCTGGAGTTTCTCAACCCTTTAGCTATAAAAAATCTTCGGAAAGGTCTAGACTTGAGACATTAAGGCGCTGTCAAAAGCTTGTTAATGAGATAATGAAGGATTATCCAGAAGGATATAATATCGGGTCCTTTAGAAAGCTGTTCCTTGAGAAATATGGATATCATCTTGATGTTCAAAAGCTTGGTTATGGAAAGTTGGTGTCCATGCTGCAGATTATGCCTGGGGTGAACATAGAGTCTAATTACATCATTCCTTCCAGTAATGTCCCCAAGTGTTCCAGTCAGGATAGTGCTCTTTCTAATATCCAAGAAAGTAATACTATTCATACATCAGTAACTTCAGGTAGTGAGATGTCTAATGCATCAAAGGATGCTGAATCGAATTCTACATGGGAGGAACCTGATCCTGTTGAAAATGCAGATTCTAGCAGGAAAGAATCAGAAGGAAAATGCACTTTTCCCCAGTACGTGTCTTCCTCGTCTGATGATGACTCTTCAGATTCAGAGAGAGAGCCCCTCAGTTATGACTCAGACAGAAGCACAAGCAAAGTCTGGAATGAGAAATGAAGTTTAGCTCATTACTCTAAATTCCTGATGATTCATGTTATGGCAAGAAGAAAGATGACAATGGGAAGTAAAAATCGGACAATTGGCAAGGCACGGTTGGTTGTTCCAAAGATAGTTTACAGTCATCTGAACCATCTGTACGAGGCACTAAGACTAACACTCCTATAGGAAGCCATGGCTAAAAGCAATGACCTCTAAGGGACTATTCTTTTGTTGCAGACCCTGATGATAGTAACCCAAACATGCTGATTGATGGCATAATGGGTAGCTTGAAGAAGTCAGGTGAGTCTCAACATCTATACATGGGATATCATACACCTTCGGAATGATTGTTAGAATTATATCTGATCCAATTCTACTATATTAATTCAAGTATTTAGGATTTTTTTTTTTTTTATCAGTTTAGTATAGTTGGATAATGTCTTTTCTATTAGAAGTCCTTTTGGTTAGATTATTTTATTGAAAAATTAAAACATAAATTGATTTTACTTTTTATTTCCAACTTTTGTCTTACAAAACAATTTGATTATACTTTTCTTTCATTCAATTTTGAAAAAAGAGAAATAATAAAAAAAAGAAGGTAACAATCTAAATAAATAAATAAAGTAATGAGGTAAAATAAGTTATTTTGATTTTTTTTGGTGAGAAATTCTGCAAATGTGCTCAATTGTTAAGATATTATTAATTTTGATGATTGAAAGATGCTAAATCTGTAATTATCCATTCTTAAAATGTTAGAATATGATTTTGTTAGGGGATGATGGATCCATCATGCCAATTGGAAAATTGGATTCAACGGATATATATATATACGCTGAGAAATCTCCTGCCAAATTGTGCTCATTGTTAAGAATATTTATTGAATTTGTGATTGAAAATGCTAAATCCTGTAATTAATCCATTCTTTAAAATGTTAGAATTATGATTTTGTCTTAGGGATATTGATCCATCCATGCCAAATTGGAAAACTTGGATTCCAACGGATATATATATATATATATATATATATAGATTATATATATTATATATAACATGATTATTGCTATAACTGATTATTGTCTGTTCGAGTTAGTATCATATCTAGATTTGGTCAAACTTGGTTGACCATGTAAATCAATTGGGTGGGTATGACCATGTAACCAAACCCGGATGGGTTCAACCAATTCAAACCCATTCTATTAACTAAATAATAAATGCAACTCATTTTGAAATGCTGTTTAATAGGGTGAGATCTTGCTCGAACACCTGTCCACTAAGGGATTTGAATGTTAATTTAGATCTGAATTCACTGGGCAAGAACCGCTTGCTCTGGAAAAATTAATTTGATTTTGAAAGAGCCGTCGCGTTGGAAAACTGAAAAAAAAAAAAACAATTAATAGTGGACTATCTATAATCTGTACAATATTAATGAAATTTAAAATATATTAAAATAATATTAGTTATCGCAATAGAATATTGAGGTTTTTTTAACCCATGTAGCAATTATAAATATATTTCTCGAGGTTTCGATTTGCTTCCTTCAAATATTTTTCAACATTTTATGGATATCATTATCCATTGATCCATATAAAATTATATATAATTTAATTGAATAAATTTCTTAAGAATTTAATTTTTATACTCCAAGCAACTTATATCCTTCAAGGATTTTTATATAGATACTTACATAAAGTTAGCCATATAAATAGGCAGTCACTAATTCATTAGACGCATTTTGAGCTTACATGAATTGTCAGATTAATTAAATATCAAATTATAATTATATTTACCACATGAGAGTATTTATCCTTGACGCGGATCGGATCGGAAATCAAAGGAATGAGATAAAATTCGCCTCTATGGCACCCCTCGTTTATAAGGAAACGGAAACACCAATAATCGAGATTAAACACTCTATAGCACCCCACGTTTATAATGAAACGGTAACACCAATAATTAAGCAAAGAACAAGATAAACGCCACAAACGAGTTGATAAGTTTACAACGAGCTTGATAAGTTTACCTTAATCTTATTCAATTAGAGGGAAGCATCTTCTCCCACTATCACTAAAAAAAATGAACCATTGCAAAGGAGAACAAAGCTATGCAAAGGAGAACAAGCAAAGCTTGAACAAATGAAGTTTTTCAATATCTCAAAGTTGTGTTCTTACATGGAAGACAAGTTATTTATACTAAAACAAGAAACTAGGCTCAATAAAGCATAAAACACATAAAACATGCCTAAGTCAGTGTTTGGCACGGTCAGGGGCGTGCTGATTGGCACGGCCGTGCTTCTTCTAATTTCCAAGTCAGAGGCTTGCACGGTCTAGGGCATGCTAGTTGGCACGGGCGTGCTTCTCCAAGCCTTCAAGTCAGAAAGTCACTGTAGCACAGTCACCGTAGCAAATTGGCAAAGTCACTGTAGGACAGCGTGCTCTTCTCCACTTAAAGAGTTAGAAGAGTGCATGGTCTGGGGCGTGCTAGTTGGCACGGGCGTGCGCAGTAGCACGAGCACTGTAGCAGGCGTACTTTTCTCACCTTAAAGAGTCAGAAGCTTGCACGGTTTGGGGCGTGCGCAGTAGCACGGCCGTGCGACTGTAGCACTCCAACTTCACATGCCACCAACAATATAAGAAGCCTAGGAATGCCTTCAAGTTCCTCACAAAGTTCCTCACAACACTTGTTAAAATGCCCCATCATCGCACTGCTCTTGTATTTTGGACTTAGAAATATATACAGGCACTGGCTCGCCCATCATCTCTTTGCCATGACCTTTCTTATAATTGGCCCCCACTATTAGGAAGCTCACCAATGAATCTCCACTGTTGCTTTCTCCATAATCCACCTCTGAAGCCCCACATTCCACTGTGTTGCCGAAGTGTCGGCGGAGTACGCGTATCAAATCCTTTATAATCAATCAGTTATTTGCAAAAAAAGCATAATGCAATCAAGAATTTACTTTATTTCTCAATGACCCCATTTATTTAGTTTCGAAAAACAGATAAATATAGAATATGTGTATTTAACTGGCTTGACAATCTCTTGATGGCTAAATATTAAAAATTTCAAAATTTACTTCTTCAACGTAATTAATACCATAACGTCGCTCGTCTCTACTAGTCCCCCCACCCTCTCTTGGCCAATCAATTCTATGATTTATGTTTCCAATAAACAGTACTAACAAGATCCTTTCATGTTTTTTCGAGCAATAATCTTAAAATGCTGATATTTATATCATAAATATATCAGTACAATGTTTTTTTTATATCGGAAGTCTCAAACTTTTGTCTAGATGTGACATATTTACCTTGAAGATTCATTATTTAATTTATGATGTGTCAGGTACCTCCGCCCGCGTGTTTTTTTTGGAAACTTATTTATTCATTTCAGGAACTTTTTTCCACAGTTTGCTCTTCTAGCGGTTTAACCATCTTGAAATAATTGCTCATTTTCTTTTTCTACAATTTTTTATACTTGGAACCGATTACTATCAGCACTTCAGAGCGGCCTTAGACTCATTTTAGTATAGGCAAATTTGTCCTTTAGGGACTTTAATTTCTACAGTAGCATTTGCAGCGTCAGCATGTAACACGATTTAGATTATCACTCCTTAACCTGGAACTAAGTAAATGTAATATATGAGAAACCTAAATGCAGAGAGGGAGAGAGGAGAGTTTTTTTTATCACACTACTTCCCCTGAACTCGAGAAGGATCAAGAGTACATACCGACTAAAAATAATACCTTTTTCAACTACAGTTATTCTTCTAGCCTGTTAATTTTCCTCCTCTTCGAATCCTAACTTATCAAAAGATCCATAATAACTCTAGCTAAATTGATAATACTATGACTCTGCTTCTATTTGAAAGTTCTAAACTATATGTAATAACTCAGTAGAATCAAGCAGAAATCCACTTATTACTCTTTAATCACTGCAGGACCCATCAAGTAATGTTGTAATCTGGAGCAATTAGAACATATAGCGAGCATAGGTTAAACCAACAAATTCATCAATAGGTACACTAGTTTAGCTATCCTTTGCGATCTAAAATTAATTATAAAAGGGAGAACATATATAATCCTTACCCTTGGCCTATGCGACGTAAATACTGCTACAATAATAGGGCGTGCGCAGTAGCACGGCCGTGCGACTGTAGCACTCCAACTTCACATGCCACCAACAATATAAGAAGCCTAGGAATGCCTTCAAGTTCCTCACAACACTTGTTAAATGCCCCATCATGATGCTCTTGTATGATTTGGACTTGAATATATAAGGACATGGCTGCCCCATATCTCTTTGCATGATTTCTTATAATTGGCCCTTTAGGAAGCACCAATGAATCTCCCATGTTGTTCTCCATAATCCCTTGAGCTCCATGGTCGAGTGTCGGCGGATCCGTATCAATCCTTATAATCAATCCAGTTATTTGCAAAAAACTTGTGCAACAAGTTTACTTTATTTCTCATGACCCCATTTTAGTTTCGAACAAATATATATTTGTATTTTACTGGCTTGACATCTCTTGATGCTAATATTAAAATTTCAAAATTTACTTTTCAAGTAAATTAAATACCATATGCGTCGTTCTATTTTGGCCAATCAATTCTATGTTTATGTTTCCCAATAAACAGTACTCAAGATCCTCATTTTTTTCACAATATCAAATGCTATATTATACATAAAATATCGTCAATGTTTTTTTTTTATATCGGTTCAACTTTTGTCTAGATGTGACATAATTTATTGAGATCTCATTATTTTTTATGATTTCAGGTACCCGCGTGTTTTTTTTGGAAACTTATTATTCATTTCAGGAACTTTTTCCACAGTTTGCTCTTCTACGGTTTAACCATCTTGAATAATTGCTCATTTTCTTTTTCTACAATTTTTATACTTGGAACCGATTAGTCTATCACACTTCAGGCGGCCTTAGACTCATTTAGTATAGGCAATTTGTCCTTTAGGGACTTTAATTCTAACAGTAGCATTTGCAGCTAGCATGTAAGATTTAGTTATCTCCTTCTGGATAAGTAAATATATATGGCAACTAAATTGCAATAAATGAATTATGTTTTAAATTTTTTTAAATCACACTACCCTGAATGAGGATCAAGATATAATAATAATAATTCTTTTTCAACTAATTATTCTTCTAGCTGTTAATTTTCTCTCTCTAATATCAAGATCCATAATAATTAGCAAATTGATATATATGACTTGCTTATTTGAAAGTTCTAAATATTTAATCATAGATCATAGCAGACATATATTTTTAATCACCTTTTGAGGACCCATCTTAGTATGTTGTACTGGAGCAATTAGAACATATAGCGCATATTTAAAAATTCATCAATAGGTAATATTTAGTTCTTGATCTAAAATTAATTATAAAAGGGAGAACATATAATA